ACAGGATATGGATTTTTAAGTTGTTCTCTTTCTTTTAACTTACCTTCGGCTGTTTAGTCATGTTTATTTTGTGCTGAAACTGGTATTAATGTGGAGGAGATTATCAGTTCACGTGCGCCTTGCGCTGCCGCTTTTACTGAACTGAGGCGCACCGCGCTACAGCGATCTGTCACTCCACATTAAACAGCGCCAAAATGGCATTTATTGTTTAAATACTGCAATACAATGGATAGAATTTTAAATCTGAGAATTAGTTTCATATTAAAAGTACCAAAGCACAATGCTTATTGCGATATATTTGATGGGAGGTGTCCTTCAATGTTCCATCCATTAACTGAAAACAGGCTAGAATAATCGATTCTTGGGATTTAAGAATCGATATAGTTCCGTAAAAATGAGAATCGATTAAAATCGAGATATCGATATTTTTTACCCAGCCCTAGTGTTTATTAACATGACTTACCACTAACAAAGTATTTATGTGCGGCATTTACAAATGTCAACAACTGGTGAATGGAGCTGTTTTTGTTGTGTGTCGTGGGTTTCGTTATAACCGAGATGGAATGTAACCATAACAATTGACGTAATTGAAAGAGCAAAAAGTTGGGCTAAAAGACGAAACCTCCTATGACAACTTGCATTGTTATCATCGAGGCTGAGAAAAGAACACTACACTGCAGACAACTGGTAAATGCTGTTATTGCTGTTTTCCATGTTCATGGAGTAAATACTTTTAAATGACTTCTTAAAAATGCAGAGTAGCCGGTGTTTCATATGCATTTGGCCTATCAGCGTACACTTAGGTCACTGATAGTTCTGTTTTAGACCCTACTCTGAAGATTGAGCTAATTTAGTTCCTCCAAACGGAGTTCCTAGAACTAAAACCGTTCCTAGTTCCTGCAGTGCGAACACAACAAAAAGCGGGCACTTCCGCCAGTAGTTCTAGGAGCTATGAAAAGGTTCCTCCTTTGTGAAAACCCCTTATAAAACATTTGCTGGTAAATCTTAAATTTGGTCAATCTTTGCAGACACAATGTGCTCAAGCTCTTCCTCTTGTTTTATCTCAGAGTCTCTGCGCTCCGTGATGGGTCGTGACTCTCGTACTCCATTTGGTCTGGACTCCTTCGGCACCCTTTCCAAACACTCCGGGTCTAGTCCCAAGCTCTTCAATAGTCTGCTGCTGGGTGCTGGCCCTTCCCAACCCAAAGCAGAGGGCACTAGTCTCCGAGATCTGCTGAACTCTGGCCCCGGAAAGCTCCCGCAAGGTCCCGCCGAGGGAGGTGTTCCCTTCCCTTCAGTGTTCTCCACTGCTGGTGTACGTAACTTTATCTTTACGTTTTGATGCTTGTTTTGAATTCATATGAAGCTGTTTTTGTACTAATGACAGACATTTGTTATGAATAATATAATTAATTTGTTATGAATAATCGGTCCCACTTTATATTAAGTGGCCTTAACTACTATGTAAATACATCAAAAAATAAGTACAATGTACTTATTGTGTTCATATTGTATTGCAAAACACTTTTGCTGCTATTGAGGTGGGATACGGGTAAGGTTAGGGGCAGGTTTGGTGGTATGGGTAGGTTTAAGGGTGGGTTAAGGTGTAAGGGATGGGTCAACAGTGTAATTATAAATGTAATTATAGAAATTAATTACAGATGTAATTACATGCAGGTGTTTTAATACAAGTACAATATGTACACCAGGGCTGTCCAAACTCGGTCCTGGAGGGCCACTGTCTTGCAGACTTTAGCTCCAACTTGCCTCAACACACCTGCCTCGATCTTTCTAGTATGCCTAGTAAGACCTTGATTTGCTGGTTAAGGAGTGTTTTATTGGTGTTTGAGCTAAACTCTGCAGGACAGTGGCCCTCCAGGAGCAGGATTGGACAACCCTGATGTACATAATAAGCGCATTGTACCAAATGATTAATTGAAATGTAAGTACATAGTAGTTAAGGCCACTTAATATAAAATGGGACCGAATAATCTTTTGTTTTGTGACCACTGAGGAAAAAAATTCTTAAGGATCACTAGAACTACATGATTAAAAATAGAGATTACTTAATATGTATGTATTATTTAAAGCATTAGCAAAAATAACTATATATCACACTAAATTGTATTATATTAAATATATTTACATATTAACAAAAAATACCTAGTGTTTGTATAGTTTGAGGTCTGTAAGATTTTTTTTATATTTTTGAAAGAAGTCCGTTATGCTCACCGAGGCTGCATATGTTTTGATCAAAAATACAGTAAAAAAAAAAAAAATCTAATATCCGTTTTCTATGTGAATATATTTTAAAATGTAATTTATTCCTGTGATGCAAAGCTGAATTTTCAGCATCATCACTCCAGTCTTCAGTGTCACATGATCCTTCAGAAATCATTCTAATATGATGCTTTGCTGCTCAAGAAACATTAATTATTATTTTTATTAATGTTGAAAACAGTTGTGCTGCTTCATATTTTTGTGGAGACCGTGATAACATTTTTCAGGATTCTTCTTACGAATAGAAAGTTGATAAGAAGAACATTTATTTTAAATGGGGGAACTTTTGTAACATTATAAATGTCTTTACTATCACTTTTGATCAGTTTAATGCACCCTTGCTGAATAAAAGTGTTAATTTCCTAAATTCTTACTGACAACAAAATTTTGAACAGTCATGTAAATGTTGTTGAGACAGACATAAGAAAATAAATGTTCGTAATATTTTTTTACATTTTATTTTTATAAATATATTTTTTTCTTTCTCTCCTAAGCAGGCAGATAAAATGAAGGGAGGACTTCCTAACTTCTTGGATCATATCATTGCATCAGTGGTGGAGACGAAGATGGCAGAGGGTCGACGTTCGTCAGGGTCAGCAGAAGGCGGCGAGTCAGGGGCTGTTCCTCGCAGAGAGGGCTTGATGGGTCTCAGTGTATTAGACCCCCACACTTCCCACTCCTGGCTGTGCGATGGCCGTTTGCTCTGCCTGCAGGACCCCAGCAACAGCAACAACTGGAAGATCTTCAGAGAGTGCTGGAAACAAGGACAGGTGAGCGGTGAAGATCAAATGGATGCACATTTATTTGATGGGTTACATTCTGCTGAGGGTAATAGCTTTTTCTTGGTTAGCCTGTGTTGGTCTCGGGCATACACAAGAAGCTGAAGGAAAAGTTATGGAAGCCAGAGTCCTTCAGCCTGGAGTTTGGAGACCAGGATGTGGACCTGGTCAACTGTAGGAACTGCGCCATCATCTCTGATGTTAAAGTCCGAGACTTCTGGGATGGCTTCCAGGTTATTTCCAGTGAGTACAGACACTTTAACGTCTGAGCAAGCCTGGATCTTTTCATTGTTGATTTGATTATAACCATCCTTAAAGGGTTAGTTCACCCAAAAATGAAAATTGGCTTGTGTTTTACTCACCCTTGAAGCATCCTAGGTGTATATGACTTTCTTCTTTCAGACGAATCCAGTCGGAGTTATATTAAAAATTGTCCTGGCTATTCCAAGCTGTATCATTGCAGTCAGCGGGTGTTGCAGTTGAACAGTCCACAAGTCGTCAAACACAGCGCGCGCATTCATAATAAACGTGCTTCACACGGCTCCGGGGCGTGAATAAAGGCCTTCTGTAGTGAATCCATGCATTTTTGTAAGAAAAATATCCATATTTCAAACGTAATAAACACTTTTCTATCATTCCGCCAACTGTCATACGCGGAAGCAGTTCCGGCGGATGACGTAGCACGTCGGCATTGCGTGATTAGTGACGAATACGGAGAGACAACAACACAAAACAAAATGCCGGTCATGAATTAGAAGTACAAACCGAGGATTTGCAAAGAAAAATGTCGGAGGATTTC